CCACTGGCCCTTGTTGCACCATATCCAGGACAGCACAGGGGCATTGCTGGCAGGCAGAACCCTGAGAAGCAGTTTACTACTCCTCTTCTCCAGAATGCTCTGGCCTTATCTTCCCCTAACCCTGCCAGTGTCAGGGACCACAGCTGGGCTCTTCTTTAATCATGTGAGCACCCCAGTGGGGAGACTGGGTTACTACCAGAAGGGGTGGCAGCTCAGGAGTCTCGCCAGTGCCCACAGAAATGCTCCAGAGAGGGAATGCTAAGGAAAAGCCAGGACCCAAAGGCAGGAGGCTACCTTCAGGGCCAGGCTCAGCCCAGCTCCCTGAAATCCCTCTCCTGAGAGACCTCTCTGTTGGGCATGGTCATGACAGCCTCTGTGGGCCATGCTGGCTCAGCCTGTGCTGTGACTCCTGGGACAAAGAGGATGAGGCATATCTGTCTTTGAGATTAACAAGCTAAATCTAAGCTGAGCTGAGCTGTTGATTCTTCTAAGTAGCTCAAAGGAGGATGACGGCAAGAGGTGAAGAGAGGGAGTGGAGGGTTGTGCAGGTGGCAAGGGCCTTCTGTCTCTGTCCCAGGAAGTGCTAGGTGGAGCTGAACTAGATATGGGTAGGCATATCCTTAAACACTGTTGGGGGGTCAGGTTTGTAGCTGGACACCCCAGTGCCCACAGATGGCAGAAAAGAGGAAATGGAACTTACAAGTTCTGCCCAGGATCCTTGAGAGCACTGGATGTGCATAGGCCCAGGCTTCTCCTGCCCTGTAGGTTCAGGCCACAGCCTGCCATAGTCAGTACTAAGGAGTGTTTTCCCAGACTTTCTTTTCTTTTTTTTTTTTTTTTTTAGAGACAGAGTCTCACTTTGTTGCCCTTATTAGAGTGCCCTGAAGTCACAGCTCACAGCAACCTCTGGGCTTAGGCGATTCTCTTGCCTCAGCCTCCCGAGTAGCTAGGACTACAGGTGCCCACCATGACATCTAGCTATTTTTTTGTTGCAGTTTGGCCGGGGCTGGGTTTGAACCCGCCACCCTGGGTATATGGAGCTGGCGCCCGACACGCTGAGCCACAGTGCCGCCCTTTCCCAGACTTTCCACATGCAGCCAGCCAATTTCGGCAAAGCACACCAGATCAGGGCTCAGAAGATGTAGGTGAGCCAGAGTTTTGCCACTAGGCTTCTGTATGACTCCCTTCATCTATGACCTCTTTCCATCTTTAAGGATTTTAGGATGGCACTGATGTGAAATGACTTAAAAAATAAACACACCTAGGTTATTACTATGTGCCAGTAACAGTGAGAATAAGAGTTCTTGTTGAAATTGGGAAGGAAGCCCCAAGTTCCTCAGATTCACCACATGCACAGTGGGGCCAAGGGATGTGGAGGAGAGAGGTGGCAGCTGGGGGGCAAGTCAACCAAATGGGGAAAACTCCAGGACTGACTGATTTCCTGTGTGACTGTGCATTAGTCACTTTACCTCTTTGAGTATTATGATCCTAATTTATAGAAAAGGCAAATTATCCTGCTCATAGTGTTCTGGGTACATCTGTAATTCCAAATATATCTCCAATTCCAGGTCCACTTTAGAACTTTTGGGTCAAGCAAAGTTCTTTTGCATGCGTCCAGGGCGTGGGCAGCTAAGTTTCAATGAACTAACAAACTATACAGGAATAAATGTTCATTCTTTTGGTTCTCTCAGGCCCAAGTAGACATGAAGCTGCTAAAGTCCTAGAGATCGACTTTTCTAGCCTGCTAATAGTTGAGTAATTTTCCAGAAACAAGACTTGGCCAGTTTCCTTGTATAAGGTACCAGCCCATCCCTCTTACATAAGCATTGTTTATTCCCCCAGAGAATTCAAGAAGCCAGCTCCTCCATGGGGCAGGGCTCAGAAGATCCCACAGCCTCAGCCCCAGGGATCAAGGGTCTTTGACCCAATCTGTGTGGGAATTAAGGCTCCCTTGTGGGGAGGTGTAGCCCCACCCAGGCATCTAGGGGTGGGGGATAAGGACCGTCAAATCTGGGGACTCGGCTCGGCGCCTGTGGCTCAAGCGGCTAAGGCACCAGCCACATACACCTAAGGTGGCGGGTTCGAATCCCCAGCCTGAGCCCGCCAAGCAGCAATGATGGCTGCAACCAAAAAATGGCCAGGCGTTGTGGCGGGCGCCTGT